CAGTGAGAACTGACCTCCGCATGTGTGCCACAGTGAGACCTGACCTCCGCACGTGTGCCACAGTGAGAATCAACCTCCACACATGTGTCACAGTGAGAACCGACCACACGTGTGCCACAGTGAGAAATGACCTCCACACGTGTGCTACAGTATGTGCCTTCCATATCATATGCACATGGACAGCAAAAGCAACAACAAAACAGTAAAAAATGGATCAGAAACCTTCGTGTAAGACCACATTTTTGTTACGGGAAAAGATGGGGAAGACACGTCAAGAAACAAGCACAAACAAGGAATTCCTGGGAAAGATTCTTAATGACTCAGGGACTAGTAACAAGAACTGTCAAATGGGATAGCATAAAACTGAAAAGCTTCTGTCTAGCAAAGGCAGCAAAGGAACAACTGAAGAGACAGGGCACTGGCTGGAGCGTAGGAGCGTATCTTTCCTGTTATCCACCCGACTGTGGCTTGATACCAATATATGAAGCACACTGGGGATTCTCAAAACCCAGATAACCCAAGTGGTAAGTAGCAGGTGAAACAAAGAAACAACAAATGAAGCGTAAATGACCAATAAATAAAGTGCTTAGCATCATTCGCCATCATGGAAATAGGAATCAAAACCGCACTGACAGCCCATCTCAACCCGGTCAGAACAGCTATCGGTAAGAAAGCAAAGCACTGAATGACAGCAAGAACACAAGGGGAAGAAACATTTATGCACTGCTTATGGGGATGGGAGTGCAGCCACTGTGGGATCAGATGGAGGACCCTGGAAAACTAAGCCCAGATCCATCCTGCAGTTGGGCTAGATCAGTCCTGGGATACCCAGGAACCCAAGTTGGCATGACACGGGGAGACCTACACAGCCGTGAATGTTGCCCGCTATTCACAGTAGCTAAATTATGGAATCGCAATGTCCAGTCACAGATGAACAGATCTGGAGAGTCTGGTCTACATATATGCAGAGGTTCATTCAGTCGTAAAAGGAATTAAACTGTATCTTTTGCAGGAAAATGGGTGGAAGTGGAGATTCTCACACCCACACTCAGAAAGAGACACATCTCAAGCTTTCTTGCATTTTTTCTTGCAACACACACACACACACACACACATACACACACACACACATTTCAAGCACATTAGTCAGAGGAAGTGAAGAGAAAAACCAGGTGTGATGTTGCCCATCAACAATCCCAGTCTTCAGGAAGCTGAGAAGTAACCATGAATTCAAGGCCTTGACGAAAAAACTAGTCTGCCTCTCACCACAAAAAAAAATTAGAGTGAGTTATTCCTAGTAGTAACTGTATCAAAGATGCAGAGTTCAAAAGTTCCAGATGCCGTCCATCGGTGTGCACTGCAGGTTTAGAGAACACTTCTTTTTGAGCAGTGTCTGTAAGCAGGCCTGACTGGCCTGGTTTTATATGTGACGCAGGACAGCCCAAACTCAATGGCAGCATCTTAGTCACTTTTTGGTTGCTGTAATAGGACACCATGACCCAAGGCAACTTATAAAAGAAAGCATTTGATTTGGGGCTCATGGCTCCAGAGGGTTAGAGTCCACGACCTCACGGTGGGGAGCGTGGCAGCAAGCAGGGAGGCACTGGCACAGTAGCTGAGAGCTCGTATTTGATCTCCAAGCCCAGGTGGAGACAGCGCTACTGAAAATGACTTTTGAAACACCAAACCCACCCCCAGTGACGCACCTCCTCCAAGAAGGCCACACCTCCTGATCCTTTCCAACAGCTCACCAACTGGGAACCAAGAATTGAAATGTATGAGCCTATGAGAGCCATTCCCATTGGATTCCATGGGCATCTTCCTGCCTCAGCCACACAGATGTGCCACCATATCCAGGTTATAAAGCTTTAAGGGGCACAGGCCTAAGTACCTTGGGCTCTGGTTACTGATGACAACAACTTTGGGTGAACTCTGCAGGGCTCTTGCTTTTCAGGGACCGGAAGCCAGCCTCTGGTGTCGCTACTGGAGATAGAAGCAGCGTAGTTCTTTCCCTCAAATGTCTTTTCATTCGTTCTCTTAATATCAGTGTCTCCCCTGTGTCTTCATTCCCCATTCTCAACATGTAATGGCGTCCCTATAGGTACTGGTGTCACTTGAATCCTGGAGAGTCGGTGTCTGTTAAAGCCCTAGGCAGGTCCAACCTTTGGACATAGTGACACGATGCTGCACTTGGCCAAGTGCAAGGCCAAGAATCAGACAATGTTTTTTTTTTTTTTCCTAATCGCAAAACCTTGTATTTTCATTAATATATGAATTTTGGGTGGGGCACATTTATAGCTGTCTCCCACTTCACGTAGCCAGTGGGTCACAGGTTATACACATACCAGTCTCCTCAACCTCTTAGTAGTAAGAAAATTTGGGAGTAGACAGGTGGTGGTGGTGTGCACCTTTAATCCCAGCACTCGAAGTAAGTTCCTGGACAGTCAGAACTGTTACATAGAAACTCCATCTCAGAAAACAAAAAAAGAAAGAGAAAGAGGAAGGAAGGAAGGAAGGAAGGAAAGAAGAAAGGAAAGAAGGAAGGAAAGAAGGAAGGAAAAGAAAGAAAAAGAGAGAGAGAAAGAAAGAAAAGAAAGAAAGAAAGGAAGGAAGGAAGGAAGGAAAGAAGGAAGGAAGGAAGGAAGGAAGGAAGGAAGAAAGAAAGAAAGAAAGAAAGAAAGAAAGAAAGAAAGAAAGAAAGAAAGAACATAAGTCTGGGAAGTAGAATGGGGGTGATTCTTAGCTTACTAGTGCATAGCATAGATAACTCTGGTTTGAGATCTCCGTCCCTAGGGACACTTGGCATGCATTGTCTCACATCTCCTTTAGGAGTGCCTTGATGCTGCCAGGGAAGAAGATGAACCCATGTTGCACTGCTTTCAAGACTGCCATTAGAGACAGTTCCATCCCTCTGTGTGTTTGTGGGGAGGAGACACGCAGAAGGGGGTTCCCATAAGTAACACGAATGTAATCATAAAAGAGTAACCATGTTTACATGAATACACCAGTTGTCTGCGCACATTCAGGAACAACGGTTGTTTTAACTGAGAAACTGAACCTCTTTTTACTTGTTTTCTATTTGTTTCATTTTTTATTTGTACTTTTTGTTTGTTTGGTTAGTTAGTTTTGTTGTTGTTTTCTTTATCAAGACAGCATTTCTCTGAATAGCCCTGGCTGTCCTGGAACTAGCTCTGTAGACTAGGCTGGCCTCATACTCACAGAGGTCCACCTGCCTCTGCCTTCCAAGTACTGGGATTAAAGGCGTGCCCCACCACCCACTGGAAACACGTTAGTTCTTATCCCTCTTTCATCATGATATTTTCAAAATCAAGGAAAAAATAGTGGCAGATATATTCTTATTTAACTTGTTTTAACAAGCACAGGAGTGCGATTGCTTGTTGGCTAGCACAGGTACGAAGTTCAAGCCACAACATAAAAAGGAAAAACATTAAGGACCATATAATACTGTATGGATCTGGGATCCACCTTTTGAAACAAAACATGTCATCTTTCATGACACATTTGACATGCAAAACACTTGCACATAGCACTACAACAGCATCCAAGGAAAGGCAGGTGCTCTGAACATTCTATGGTGAATGGTCACCATGGCAATGAGCAGACGCACGTCTGGTCTTCCATTCCAACTGTCTAGGTAAACTGGACGGTTCACATCTGAGGGCAGTGGAGCCAGGTTTTAGGTTGATACCTAGAATTCTCGGAGATGGGAAACCTAAAATGCTGCTGCAGAGGTACGTTCACTCTCCTCAGAGGGGCCAGTTCAGTTTTCCACGATGTATTTCCCGGGTGTGTCACCAGTGTGTCACTGTCTCATTTCAAATTTTCTACTGATTTTCAAGTTAGTTCTTCATATTACTTGATACGTACTTGTAGTTCTTCTCTCAGACTGGTTGACTGGCTGACTTGAGTGTTTTCCTAGTAGTGTTAGTACATTTCCTGCTCCCAGCTTTGTACAGTCTTCTGGAGAGCAGGCACAGAACAACATGGCCACACAGGGGAGTATCTTGACACTCAACCTAGCGAGAGGCACTCCACAAAAGGAGAATGATGAGAAACCCTTCTCAATACGCATGGTGAAATCCAACATCCGGGGCTGCGGAGATGGCTCAGTGGGTAAAAAGCTTGTAGCACGCCTGATAACTTGAGTTCCGATCCCCAGAACCCATGTAAAATTAAACAAAGTAGTGCCAGTGTGTGTGATCCCACTGTGCCGCCCCTTTTGGGAATACAGGGGCCAGCTAGCTCATAGTATGCAGCAGTGAATGAGAGAGACCCCTGTCTCAAATAAGAAGGCAAGCTATTGTAGGAGGAGGGCCTGCTTGTTCATCCCAGCTGCCCAGCTAGCTCAGTCAGTAGAGCATGAGACTCTTAACCTCAGGATTGTGGATTCGTACCCCACACTGGGTGCCAATCTGTAGGAGGAGGGCCCGCTTGTTAGTCCCGGCTGCCCGGCTAGCTTAGCCCCAAAATAATCACATAGAAACTATATTAATTCAATCACTGCTTGGCCCATTAGTTCTAGCTTCTTATTGGCTAACTCTTATATTAATTTAACTCATTTCTATTAATCAGAGCACTTTTTTATTCATTAATGGTAATTACAGCACACAGAGGGGACTCCCACACCATTTTCTCTTTTCTGTTTAAACAAAAAAGGAAAAATGGTATGGGAGGTCCTTCTGACTATGTGTTGCTTTGATTGGTTAATGAATAAAGTAACTGCCTTGGCTGGCACTAGAGAACACTTCCTAAATACAACCCAGCAGTACAAACACTGAGAGAAACAATTAATAAATGGGACTTCCTGAAATTGAAAAGCTTCTGTAAAGTAAAGGACACGGTCAACAAGACAAAACGACAGCCTACAGAATGGGAAAAGATCTTCACTAACCCCACAGAGGTCTGATCTTCAAAATACACAAAGAACTCAAAAAATTGGTCACCAAAAGAACACATAATTTAATAAAAAAAAATGGAGTACAGACCTAAACAGAGAACTCTCAACAGAGAAATCTAAAATGACTGAAAGACACTTAAGGAAATGTTCAACAACCTTAGTCAATCAGAGGAATGCAAATCAAAACAACTCTGAGATTCCATCTTACACCTGTAAGAATGGCCAAGATCAAAAACACTGATGACAACTTATGCTGGAGAGGCTGTGGGGAAAAGGGAACACTCCTGCATTGCTGGTAGAAAGGCAAGCTGGTACAAGCCCTCTGGATGTCAGTGTGGTGATTTCTCAGAAAAATTAGGAAACAACTTTCCTCAAGACCCAGTAATACCACTTTAGGGTATATATCTAAAGGATGCTCAATTGTGCCACAAGGACATGTGCTCAACTATGTTCATAGCAGCATTGTTTGTCATAGCCAGAACCTGGAAACAACCTAAATGCCCCTCGACCGAAGAATGAAGAAGGAAAATGTGGTACGTTTACCCAATGGAGTACTACACAGCAGAAAAAAAAAAACCCGACATCTTGAATTTTGTAGTAAAATGGATGGAGCTAGAAAACATTTTGAGTGAGGTAACCCAGACCCAGGAAGACAATTATCACAAGTACTTAAAAAAAGTGATTTTTAAGCATAAAGCAAAGAAAGCCAGCCGACAAACCACAATCCCAGAGAATTTAGACAACAATGAGGACACTAAGAGAGACTGACATAAATCTAATCTACATGGGAAGTAGAAAGTAGAAAAAGACAAGATCTCCTGAGTAAATTGGGAGCATGGTGACCTTGGGAGAGAGTTGAATTCAGGAGAGGAGAGGCAGGGAGGGGAGCAGAGAAAAATGTAGAGCTCAATAAAAATCATTTTAAAAAAAGAAATTGCCTTGGCCTGTTGATAGGGCAGAACTTAGGTAGGTGGGAAGACAGAACTGAGTGCTGGGAGAAGGAAAGAGAGTCAGAGAGACGCCATGGATCCACTGCCAGAGATCCATGCCAGTAAGCCACTGCCATGTGGCGATATACAGATTAATAAAAATGGGTTAAATCAAGATGTGAGAGTTAGCCAATAAGAGGCTAGAGCTAATGGGCCAAGCAGTGATTTAATTAATACAGTTTCTGTGTGGTTATTTAGGGGCTAAGCTAGCCGGGTGGCTGGGACTAACAAGCACACCCTCCTCCTACAAGGTATGACACTAGAAATTGGCATCTGACTTCTGTACACATGCCATGGCATACAAATGCACACACATATGAGAGAGAGAGAGAGAGAGAGAGAGAGAGAGAGAGAGAGAGATGCTCAGAGTCAATGCTAGATTACAGCACCTAGATTCCAGAGTTGTTGGAAGGAAGCATAGTGGGATTTCAAGGTGTCTGGGAGCTGCTAAGACAATGCCCCGAGTTCAATGAAGTAGTTACTTAATGGTGGAGGCGGAGAGGGCTTGGCTATCATTCAGGTTGTGAGTAAGACATTCCCACTCTGTTCCTGGCCTTGTTGGAACTGGGAGGAGTAGGAGATGTAGCTGCTGCTCATTCCCTGCCAAGCCTTCGTCCAGATGCTCAGCCCAGTAGCCACATGACATGGCACACACCAGTTTTCTCCACTGAGCCCCTGACACTTAAGGTACCAGGGGACTGCAGGATACCACACAGACAAGACCAAAAAGGAAACTTCTCCATAACATAGTATAGTTAAAATACAGAACAAAGAAAGACTATTGGAAACTACCAGAGAAAAGGGCCAAGTAATTTATAAAGGCAGGCAAAGTAGAGTAACGGCTGATTGTACAGTAGAAACTTTGAAGCCAGAGTGCCTGGAGAAATGTATTCAAGCTCTTAAAGACCACAACTGCCACCAGGACTATTATACCCAGAAAAACTATCTATTAAAATTGAACAAAAAATAAAAACTATGATCAGGAAAACAAAAGAGAATATAGGAATTTTTTTACCACTAAGTCAGCTCTACAGAGGACTTGGGATATTAAGAAATGAATCACCAGGCCTTGGGATATTAAGAAATGAATCTGTTCTACAGAGGACACTGGAAGGACTAGAGAAAAGGATAAACACACCCAAGGGGCCACAGTGCCACACAAACAACTCTGAGACAGTAATTCAAAAGAAGCCCAATGAAACACCACAAACTCAACAAAATGACAGAAATGAAGACCCAACTTTCAGCAGTAACTCCGAATGTCAATCATCTTAACGTCCTAATTGGTGCTTTTTGTTAAGGGCAGACACAGACTGTCCAAGAAAACTCCAGAACTTGGATGTAGTGAATGGCTCTGCAGTTAGGAGCACCTCTGTCCTCGAGTTTGGTTCTCAGTAACACTTCAGGCAGCTCACAAACACCTCCAATTCCAGCTCCATATGATTCAACACCCTTTTCTGTACACACACACACACATACACACACACACACACACACACACATACACATACACATAATTTTTTTTAACTAACATATTCCTAAAGATCACCTGTAACATGACCATCTCGGTGACAACCACAGGTCTACTCTCACCTCCTTGGAGATTCATTGTTAGTTTTGTTTTGCTTTGTCTTGTTTTTGCTCTTTGTTTTATGTGTTTTCAAGACAGGGTTTCTCTGTGTAGCCCTGGCTGTTCTGAAACTCACTCTATAGACAAGGCTGGCCTTGAACTCATGGAGACATACCTGACTCTGCCTCCTGAGTGATGGGATTAAAGACATGTGCCACCATTGCTGGTGATTCATTTCTTAATATCACAAATTTGAGATGGGACAGTCTTTTCTGCACCTGACCTATTTCACTCAACATGATGTCCTCCAGTTCTATCCCACGTTGCCCCAAATTATAGAATTCACCTTCATCACAGATAGTAATGTGTAAGTAATGCTGAAAACGCTATCGTTGGATGAGAAGCACATACTTCAAAACAGACTTGCCTCAAAATATGCAGTTGTTATATGCCAGTAAATACAGTGTTGGACTGTACATAATTATAGAATGCAGCCAGTGTAAGATGTCAACTTCTTGTATCTCCTAGGTTGTTGCATCACAGACGAAGATGACACCCCTCTGAGAAGGAGACATTTTGTCCATGGGACAAGGACCCGCTTGTGGCCGCCCAGCAGGGTTGAGCCCACACATCCCAATGATGGTCTGTGGAGATTCAGTCCTTGAATCAGTGACTCTATGTAGTCGAGGTCCCACATTTCAGAGAAAACTGTAGCTGGGCCAGGTCATGCATTTCTGTAGTCACCTCAGCAATGACCACCTGTTTCCAGCAGTAGCTACCCTGGGTTGGCCTCTAACCTCCAGACATCCTCCTGCCTCAGCTTCTCAAGTGCTGAGATTACTTGTGTGCCTCACCACAGCTGAGTTTTAGCGTATTTTTCAGTGACATAATTTGACCAAAGCATAATGTTCTGTTTAACTGCAGCACCGTTGTTGGTCTTGCTGGGCCGGTCAGTACTGTTCGAGGGTTAGTGAAGCTTTCCTCTTTGGCAAGGCATTCACTGTGGTCCCTCTGCTGTCCTTTCCGGTGGCTTTCATCTCCTCCTGGGTTTGCTCCTTTCTCTCCTTTCACCCCCTAAGGAGCGTGTCCCAGCAGCAACAGAAACTGCGTGTCAGCAGGCCACCTCCATCCCCTAGCTCTGTGTCCACACCACACAAGGTTTTGATCTTTCATCAGCAAGGTCAGTGGGCTGACAGGCCCCTGCTTCCTACCAGTTTCCAACAGGGTCATAATGGAGGTGGTCCCCTGCGACTTCTCAGAGGAGGAGGAGGAACTGTCTGTCTGGAAGGTAAGACTGGTCCCTCTTTGTGTGAGGTAGACATGTTGTTTACTGAGCTCTTTCTTTGGGAATCAAGTGCAGACATTAGACTCTACACGCAACATCCCCTTTGTGGAGAAATTTCAAGAGTAAGTCCATTGCCAACTGACGCGCGAGTCAAGATGATCTTCCTAAGTATTAGAGTATAGCAGCTCCCAGCAGGAGGCTGGCGCCTGCGTCTTCCTCGAGTGCTGTCTAAACTCATTTTAGGACACTGCCCAGACCCTGTTCCCCATGCACTTCTCTCAGCCTACCGTAGTGAACAAGAGAGCTGAGCAAACAGGACGGGGCGTGATCCGATCCTCATATCATTTTCCTTTCTGTGACCACAGGTGGAACCCTCGGTCAAGGAAAACAGTAAGTGCTCCACATTCCTATGCTGAGGGTCAGTTTAAGTACTAAAGGGGGATAGATTTCCTCGCCTGTTTTTATTGAGAAATCCATCCTGATTCTGGTTCCCAGTTGAAAGGAGAAATGGGCCGTAGTGAACAGAGCTGTAATCCAATGGAAAGTTAGGACCATCGACAGCTGCTGGAAGCAGCAATATCATTATTTTGGTAGTGTGGATTTGTGTACCTGAAGGTTGGGAGGTTCAATGCACTCCAAAACAAAACAAAACAAAAATGAAGTCCACGCTTTCCGTAACATTTTATCCCTTCAACCCAAGCATAGGTTAACATCAAGATCAGTTTCATATACACAGAGACACTGCAGAGTTGACTGGTCCAGGCTCATGCATCTGTATGATCACAGCAGCTTGGCATGAGTCCCAAGGTTGATGCTCCGAGCTTGAGACCCATATTCTAGTCCCAGGCACAGGATCCACAGTCACCATACCAGAGTATTTAGGCTCAGGCAAACACCTGGTGCGATTTCATCCTAGGAGTTCCCTACACTGCCCATCAGTGGAAGGCAGTCACAGTATTCACACAATCCAGGCTGCATTTAAAAGCTCACATGGAGGCTGGGCAGTGGTGGTGTGTGGGGGGGAGCACATGCCTTTAATCCCAGCACTTGGGAGGCAGAGGGAAGGTGACTCTCCTGTGAGTTCAAGGCCAGCCTGGTCTACAGAGTTAGTTCTAAGATAGCCAAGGCTACACAAAGAAACCCTGTCTCAAAAAACAAAAACAAACAAACAAGCAGACTCGTAAGTCATTAATGTGAAATTCAAATAGCCCCCATGGTAGGTGAGGTGCCTGTACCACAGTGTAAGTCAGTGCCTGTCAAGGCTGTGTTAGGCCTTCCTCACCCCTTGCTCGTAGCAGATAAGCATCATGGGATTATTTGACTACATTTAACGAGATGATCATCTAAACACTTACAGACACTCAAATTCCCTAGCAAGCGTATTTAACAGACCGTGTAACAAAAGGTCCCAGCTGGCTGTGACTCTTGAGTCCCGCTCCCTCGTCGCACACCTGTGCTCTCCCTGTGACGGGAAGTGGAGACACCACAAGCCAACTGAGCCGAATGTCTTGCTGTGGGAGCCTCGTGTGAGCTGGCCAGCCACCAACCCCATGGGTGCCACTGAGCCTTCTGTACAAAAGAAAACGACCACGCCTCTGAGGAGGTTAGCTGGAAATGACAGCCGTCCACTGTTCCCATAGTTATAAAGCATCTCAAAGAGAATTAACAACAAGAGGATTATTTGTCTACAATTAAACCCATTCGTAGCAAAGGTCTTTTTTTGTTTGAGACAGGGTTACCGCTTTATAGTCCTGGCTAGCTTGAAACTAGTGTAAACTAGCCTGGCCTCGAACACACAGATTTTCCTGTCTCTGCCTCCTGAGTGCTAGTATTAAAGGCATGAAACACAATACCTGGCAAAGGTCACATTTTTGTCTAGTAAGCAGATCCTTTGGGAAGATAGTACATGTAGAAGCACATAGAGATCCGGGGAAGAAAAGGTCTCGGAAGTTACCAAGAAGATAATGGCAGTTGAGGTCAGCTTCTTCCTGGACAGAAGAGACATGGGACTCGGTCCCTGGGGCCCAGTATATCCTTCATGTTCATCCCATTTGGACAGTTTTACATTATAGGATGCCTTCAGCAGGAGAGCTAAATTCCCCGCCTCTGTTCCCTCTTGCTCCTGTCTTTTGCCTTCTGTCTTTGCCCCATGTCTGTCCACTGATGTTGCTGAATTATCCACAAGCGGCAGTGGCAGGGTACTGACGGAGCCTCCCTCTCTTCCTAGTCACCCTGGAGACCGTGAGGGATCACTTCCATCAGCACAGAAGGTTGGAAGAGTCCATCGAGAACCCTAGTAGGTTGATTGCGTCTGTGTAGAACACAGAAACTTAGAAATCGCTTTCTAACGGATGTTGTTTCTAAGGCTATCACGGTGTGATCGTGAGAACACAGACATGTGCCACAGCATAGATATACGTTAATGGAATCTTAAGGGCGCGACAAATGACCCAAAGATTCCATAGCAGCTTAGTCCTCATACATTACTTTCCTCAGCAGGGGACAATTTTGCGTTAGCCACCAATAACACACTCGATGCAGCCATGATTCATGAAAAGCTCAGCTTTATTCTTTTTCTTCAATTTTGTTTTTATGTGTAATGATGTTTTGCTGAATGTATGCCGATTTACTAGATACATACAGTACTCATAGAGGCAGACCCTCGGAGAGTCTTGGATCTCCTAGAACTTATGAGCCATTGTGTGGGTGCTGGGAACTGAAGCAGGGTCCTCTGGAAGAGCAGCCAATGCTCTTAACCACTGAGCCATCTCTCCAGTACAACTGGTGTTTTGTTTTTTTAACAGGAGTAGATTTGCTCCATGACTTTGGAATCCTCTGAGCCTAAGCTCCCCATGGACAGGACAGGGACAGCGTCTATGGCTCACTTGCCACAGGAAGTCTCCTTCCAACTGGTCTTTGTGTGTCAACACTGCTGGTGGACTATTATCTGGCACTCTGAAACTGGATGGAGCCTCCAAGGGCACGCCTGTACACTGAAAGGCATTCTCCTTTCGGGGAGGGTAGGGGCACGAAGGGATGATTCCACTAGAGGACAAACTTAGTATGCTGACGGGCTGGACCCCACGCTCCAGGCTATTTCATTAGCTCCCATGCAAGGCCCTCAGAAGGTAGCTTTGAAAGCCTGTTACTTTTTTACATCGCCACTTCCAAACGCTACCTGTGTCCTCCCCTTCATACGCACAGACATTCTGGCCATGACTCTGACAGCAGAAACAGAATTCTCCTCCATCAGCTCAGCCATAGACAACTACCACATTCTTTAACATCACCTGAGCCAGGATGCTGCTCACATAAGGGAAGCCGAAAGCTTCATCCTCAGCTCGTTAAGCCTGCCGTGCCCTACACAGGTTCAAATGTCCACTGACTGTGACCAGCTCAGGAGTCGGGGGAGGACAGCCCCTGGAGCGAACACCTCGCCCCTTCTTTGTCCAGTGCTCTCATTTCTTCTTAATAGGATGCTCTGGGCCTTGCTGGAGTCCAGCTGGGCCTTGGAGTTGATTAAACTCATTTAGTGTCTAGAGGAGAGAACACCTATTTCTTTAGTATGTGCCCAGTGAGCCTTGTAATGCATGCTGAGCTGGGGCAGCAAATTACTCAAGAGATCAAGAAGGGTAGGGGGAGTCGTATCTCCTCATCTTCCCCCTCTCTTTGCCATCCAACATCATAGCCACTAAACCAATACATTATCCAACTTATATTAATTCAAATACACAAACATTGAGAATCCCAGTCCTGTAGCTGCAGCTCATGTCTCCCATGGACATAAGTTTATAATGCAGGAGAATAATACCATTTCTTGGGTACTTTGCCTACGTTCTCTTCTCTGATCTTAGATACTTCAACATACACACACACACGCATACACGGAGTGGGGGAGCAGGATAAGTTTGGAAGTAGCGGCTGTATGGGGTAAGAAGAATTGAAATCTGATCCACCTGAAGGCTTGTAAGACCTTCCAGTCTCATTCTGGAGGCCTCAGAGTCCACAGAAGTCAGAAAGTATCTGAGAATCCAGAGAATAGGGCCATAATTGGCTGTTAATCAGTTTCCCAAGACGACCACAAAACGTTTGACCTCGATACTGTACAGAGGGAAGTTTAGCTCACTGTTCTCACACAGCAACGGTATCTACTGACTTCTGGGAACATCCTCGTGGCTCACCACAACACTTGCCGGTTCCAAAGAACGGGGTTGTACAGGTGATGCGTGAAGTACAGGGATGCAAGCATCTGGCCTGCTCTGTTTAGCAGTCCACCAGTAGGAGAGGAGCTAGACAGGGTCTGAGCAAAGCACGGTGGCCCGACGGCCCACTCGTGACATTATTTACTGTCTGTGACTGTGTGTGGGAGTGGGTGAGGCTGTGCTATAATACAAGTGTGGAGGTCAGAGGGCAACTCATGGGAATCAGTTTTCTCCTTGCACCACGTGGGTTCCCAAGATGAAACTCAAGTCACCAGGCTTGGCAGCAGCACCTTTCTTTACCTTCTGAGCCAGCCTGCAGGCTTCCGCCTGAGGCCCCTCCCAAAAGGGTTGGCCTCCTCCCGGTACCACTGCACTCGACGCTGGAGGGCACACCATACCTCCAGGCCATACTGCGCCATCGCTACACGAGACCCAGAGGGCTGGGAGGAAGACTGTCCTGACCGCTGACTGTCTTACTGGTGTTCACACCCTCCAGGCTGGAATGTCTACAGGCAGTGGGACTGGAGCAGCAACGACGAGGAAGACTTTGAAGGTGTGTGAGCTCTTGGGGTCGAGCTGTGTGGGAAAGGGCTCCTGGGAGGCGCGGGGTGTACGTGCTGCTCTGGGGACTGGGAGGAGTATGCGTAGGCAGGAAACAGAACCAGAGAGCAGCGATGCCTACCTCCTCCCTTGTTTACGACTCAAGGATCAGAGCTCGCTGTTGGAGTACGCTTTTTACTTCTCTGGCTGACAATAACTGTCTCCACAAGCCCCACTTCCCGTGGTTCCATGCCAGACACTTCCACTGTTGACAGTGATTGTGGGCCATCTGCTGGAGATTGTGCATAAGACATTGGGTTTGCTACTTATGTTGCCCACAGTTTAAGGAATCTAGAGACACAGGTCTCACTCTCGGGCACAACATGGGCGGTGGGTGAGAAGTCCACCCTTCTTCCCTGCTCTGTTAGGCTCAGCATACCAGCCATTCTCTGTCCAGCCTTCTCACCTCACCACACACCTATTTTTATGAACACTCCTGGGAGGGAGGCGTTCTAAACCAGGCCACTGGGAGACCAGTGCCTGCTCCTGGGTCCTGGAGAAGACTGGTGAGTTCATCTTCAGTCACCTCTCGCCTCCACTCTGACTCCATTTCCCATATTGTGGGACCGGGAGCGAACCCTGAAGATATTTCCAAAAGGGACTCCTATGTCCAGTGGTCCCCTGAACCTCTCTGAAGCTAGGCAGAAGAGTTTTGTGGGAGAATTGTCTGTATTCTGTCAATCTGTTTATTTTGAATAAATGCTGATTGGCCAAGCAGGAAGTATAGGCGGGTCAACCAGACAGGAAGTAGAGGTGGGGCAATGAGAACAGGAGAATGCTAGGAAGGCGGAAGCCCATTCCTCCTATTCCTGCCCAGACTACTGAGAAGCAAGATGTAACCTGCCTGGTTGAGAAAGGTACTGAACCATGTGGCTAGCATAGATAAGAACGATGGGTTAATATAAGCTACAAGAGCTAATAAGTAGCCTGAGCTAATGGACCAATCAGTTTTATAATTTATGGAGACCTCTGTGTGATTTTCTTTGGGACTTGCCAGCTGTGGGATACTAGGCAGGACAGAAACCCCAACGAGCAGGCCCCTCATGTTACACAGAAGTAAAAGAGCGTACATGGGAAGGGGCAGCACACACAGGCACTCAACCTGCCATGGGCCTTGTCTGGGAATCCACAGGATCAGTAGAGAGGCTCTGTCCAGAAGGTTCAAGAGGCCCGTATCCTGTCCAATTCTTCTGCTCCATGCAGTGTCCCCCAACTCCTAGTCTTGTTCCTTGAGCTCAGACCTGCTAGTTACCTTCTCAGAGCAGTGGAAAAACTGCCTGGCACCTTTTCTTTAGGTCACCGCTCATCTGCTTCCTGTAAGATGAGAAACAAGAGGGATTTGGCCCTTTTGTTCAGCCTGCCAGTTTGTGTTCTGTTGTATCTTATGAGCAAGAGAATTGTCACTACGTCCCAAAGTCCACCAAGTCCCTCAGGTCATCAGAGGTGCAGTCATCACAGGTCCAGAATATTTATCAGCCTGTCTGTTGGGTTGTCATTCTATTGCATAAGACAAGCACTCATGTATAAAGGCCGCAGTAAATTGAGTAGTTAGGGAGGTGACAATGTCCTCCTGCTCTCTCCTCCAATTTCCCCATATTGGAGAAATCCATGGGAGCGAGGTTAAGGAGGAGAGAGAACGCTGGCAGCAACGACGGAGAAGGACACGGGTGTAATGAGGCAGCACACAAGGAGGGAGGTCACGGCTGTGGACAAAAAGTCATGGAGACTGTGGCAGCCTCTAGGAAAAACAGGAGAACACAGGCACTGTCCTTATTATGGTAGAGTCTGGGCTAGAAAAAAATACCCAGAGCCTGTCCTTGGTGGCCAGGTAAGGAAACAAGGCCCCAAGACAGGAGCAGAGGGATGAGAATTGAAGTCTGAGGAAGTGAGGCAGAGGCCCAGATCCTCAGCCTAGACTTGAACTCCCTCCTTGTAACATGAAGGGCCTGCTTGTTTGTGTTTCTGTCCTGCCCGGCCCCCCAGCTGTTTAGTCCCAGAGAAAAACAACACACAGATCTCTTTAAGTTATAAAGCTGATTGGCCCGTTAGGTCAGGCTTCTTACTGGCTAACTCTCACATCTTGATTAACCCATTTTTCTGATCTATTTTAGCCATGTGTCTCAGTACCTTTTTCAGTGGGGCAGATCACATCCTGCTGCTTCGGTGATCTGGGCAGGAGTGCGAGGAATCAGCTTCCTCCTCCCCAGAATTCTCCTGCTCTCCTCACATCATTTCCACTTCCTATCTGGTTTTCCTGCCTACACCTCCTGCCTGACCAATCAGCGTTTATTTAAAACATGATTGACAGAATACAGATCAATTCTCCTGCACCACTTCCCCCTCTTTTTTTTATAAAAAAACAAACAAAGGAAAATATCCATAGTTCATTTGGGGGGAATGTGGGCGTAGTATTCCAGGCTACTTCCAGCTGGTTGGGGGCGCTGATAATCTTATGGGGACCTAAAGGAAGTTTAGAGTTATGCTCAAGTCCTGACTGAAGTATTCTGTAAGTTTTGATCATCTCAGGCAGCAGTCTTGAACCTGTTCTGGATGAAGAACTCAGACATCTGGGCCATCTGCTCCTGTCGGAGATTGTTCAGGTGGTCTCCCTTGGTCAAATTGGATTTTTCTTTACTCAGAATAAATCCAGAGCCTCTCGTTTTCTGTGGAAACAAAAGAAAAATCTCTTCTCCAAAGTAACCTACCTTTTGACTTCAATTTTGAAGTCAAGGTATTTTCAAAATACCTATCTTGGATTAATTCTGCAGCATTTATAAGCAAATATCTTTTAGCAGCTGTTGCTCCTTCCTCAGCATTTAAACAATTCAAAGAGAGCATGATAGCATACAGTATCAAGATTCTCTGTGTATTTTTCTTCTTTACGTGGCTTATTTTAACCTCTATTTCTTTTATTTTTACTTTTAACTTTTGGCTTTTTGAGACAGGTTCTCTGCATATCTTTGTCCTGGAACTCCCTCTGTAGACCAGGCTATCCTTGAACTCACAGAGATCCTTCTGTCTCTGCCTCCCAGTCTACTCTTTCTTTCTTTCTTTCTTTTTTTACTCTGAGAACTTTAACCTTTAGCCTGTATATATTTTTAACACAATGTAAACCATTTAGAGGTTTTCTTACTCTTTGAATCTCTCTTTACTGTCTCTCTCTCTCTCTCTCTCTCTCTCTCTCTCTCTCTCTCTCTCTCTGACCATGTGGGTCTTTAATTTGCTAAGGAATATGGAGAAAACAACACTCAAAAAGCTCCTATGGCGTTTCAAGGTCCTTGCCAGGAAGCAAGCTGCAACATTGTATCCATAGTCGGGACTGCCTGCTTGAAAGTCAAGAGTTTTCACTGGCAGAACCGCCCAGAAACCCGGCATTTTAAAACAGCGCAGCTTTTTTCCTGCTACAGCTGAAAACTGAAATGCTTTACTCTAGTCTTTCCCAAGCTTTCTCAGGCTTTCTGTGGGTGCAGTTATCCACGTGGGCACTATTCTGTTTTCTTTAGATCCCCATAAGATTATCAGCGCCCCAACCAACTGGAAGTAGCCTGGAATACTACACCCACATTCCCCAAAAATGAACTATGGATATTTTCCTTTGTTTTCTTTTTTTAAAAAAAGAGGGGGAAGTGGTGCAGGAGAATTGGTCTGTATTCTGTCAATCATGTTTTAAATAAATTCTGATTGGCCAGGCAGGAGGTATAGGCAGGAAAACCAGACCGGAATTGGAAATGATGTGAGGAGAGCAGGAGAATTCTGGGGAGGAGGAAGCTGATTTCTCTCACTCCTGCCCAGATCACCAAAGCAGCAGGATGTGATCTGCCCCACTGAAAAAGGTACTGAGACACATGGCTAAAATAGATCAGAAAAAAATGGGTTAATCAAGATGTGAGAGTTAGCCAGTAAGAAGCCTGACCTAACGGGCCAATCAGCTTTATAACTTAAAGAGATCTGTGTGTTGTTTTTCTCTGGGACTAAACAGCTGTGGGGCAGGGCAGGACAGAAATCTGAACAAGCAAACCCCCTCATGTTACACCTCCTCCTTTCTTCAAGGCCACACCATCACCGTCACCGCCCTGGTGCATGCAGAAGCATGTCTCTCTGATGACACGGAGGAGAAAGCAGAGGCAGCCATTCGTATGTAGCTCTTATTTGTGTCTCTTCAATGTTCTTAATCAAACTCTGTCTCTGTTGCTCTTCCCCATCCCCCTTCCCACGTTTTCTGACTTTGCGGTGGTGGGTCCTGGTCTTATGCATATGCTTGTAGTCCTTGAACCTTAGAATGTGCTTGATTTCCGTGCTCCTCACCCTCTTTCCTCGCCCAGCCTCAGTTCCTTTTCTTTGTTTGGTGATGTTAGAAGTAGAACCCAAGCCTCATTTGAGCTCTGCCCTCGATCTCCAGTTCCAGTACCTACGATTTCCGAAAGTCATAGATAGACAGGTGGTGTTGCATGACAGTCAGACACAAAAAGAGAAACACGAACCAGACAGCTGTGCTTGTTTACCTTGGGGGTCTCAGGATGGACCATAGAGAGGGAAAGGGTCGTGGAGAGGGAAGGTGGGTCATGGTAGCACTCTCATCAGAGCCAGTGGTGTCCAGTGAAGGCAGTGTGCGGGATTCGGCCTGCCCGTCCCCACTCCAAGGGACATCCCATCCTCAGATTCAGGTTTACTGTGTTTCAGGATCCTGTGACGACATCCGCAAGGAGGTGGAACTGTGATCATGAAGACAGAGGCTGTTGCGCTCCTACCTTTTCCCCTCTGTGGAATGGGCCGCTCTAACAGCTTAGACTTAGGGGTTTTGTACATATGTTTGCTCCTTTTTCATTGTTACAAATGCTTTGTTTTTCATGTTGGCTATTTAACATTGTAAATATGTTTCTTCTTATTGGTGCATATTATATATTAAATGAAACTTGATTCCTGCCGGTCTGTAGTAAAACCTTTCTTGTAGTATAAGCACTGCTAGATCAAATCCCTAAAGAGAAGTTCATCTTCAACTTAGTGACCCGCCATCACTCCCATGAGACAGGCTCGTCACCGGGTTGTCCCTGCCATCACTCCCTTGCCAGGCCCATCACGGGTCGGCACTGAACACAGTGACGCTGAGCACCAGTCATCTGTCCTATGTCACTGCTGCTCTAGGACTTCAGTGACGGAAGTCAGCTTGTTCCTCTCTCTGGAAGTCATGGCAGCAATATGACCCAGGTGGCCCAACACCACTGGGATGTCTGTCCTTCACACCTCGAAGCCAGCACCATGGTACCGCGTCCACAGTTCCTGCGCCTGCCTTGAGGCTCTTCAGCTGCTGCTGTTTCCACTGGGCCCTGCTTTCTCTCTATGCTGCTGTTTCTGACTGGGAAGGCCCTGCTTTCTCTCTGTGCTGCTGTTTCCACTGGGAAGGCCCTGCTTTCTCTCTAAACTGCTGTTTCCACTGGGAAGGCCCTGCTTTCTCTTTCGTTGTTATCATGGAAGCCTGTTGGATTCCTTTACCCTGGAGCCCAGCATTTCCCAAGAACACACTGGCTCATCACTGCCAGTCAGCGCCCAGTGTCCCCCAAGGAAACAAGTCCCCAGCATCGTCTTGTTGACAGAAAGACTGCAGTGACAACTTCATGTTTTCTTTCTGTTGTTGCTTTGGGTTTTCCTGCTGGTGCTCGGTCATTTCTCCACCAGGTCCCTGGTGGTCAGCTTCAGCTTGGGGTGCTTTGCTCCAAATCACCCCTTATCTCTCCATGAACTTGCAGAGTATTGCCCTCTCTCACCTTCCTCATCCTGTAAGGAGTGCTCCCCATGAAGCTCCTCCCCGAGTCAGCACTGAAGTGCTCCCTTACTGTCTGCTCTTCTGACTTCTGTTCACCCATTCCCGAGCTTCTCTCTCTCTGATTAATGATGCCCCCTCATGCTTTACATCGTTCCCTTAATGACCTTTTCTGATGATTTTTTAAAGATTTATTTATTTATTTATTATACAGTGTTTTGTCTGTCTGTATGCATGGTGGCCAGAAGAAGACACCAGATCTCATTCCAAATGGCTGTGAGCAACCATGTGGTTGCTGGGAATTGAACTCAGGTCCTCTGGAAGAGCAGTCAGTGCTCTCAACCTCTGAGCCATCTCTCCAGCCCATCTGATGATTTTTTTGAAAGGAAAAAAAAACCCACTTTATTAACTGGAAAATAATGAATAAGTCTCATCAAGTAGATAAATACCTGCAGCAGAGCAATGGTGGCTCACACCTTTAATCCCGGCACTCCAAAGGCAGAGGCAGGAGGATCTCCATGAGTTCAAGGCCAGCCTGGTCTACAGATCAAGTTCCAGGATGGCCAGAGCTACATGGAGAAACCCTGTCTCAAAAGGCAAAGAAAACCAAACCGAAATCAGAGCCCTGTGTCCTATGGTGACACGGCTCTGTACTTCTCCCTCCTCTCCCTTCCACGTCCGTCCACGGATTCTTTTCTGTACTTACACATGAAACTTGCTTCCCTGAGTGTGTGTGGGTGCCAGTGCGCACCAAAGCTTCCCCTCTGCCACCCCTCTGCCTGGTGATGTCGCGCCCTGCCCACAAGTGCACCACCAGCTTCCCTGGCTCTGGGAATGCGTCTCAGTACCCGCCTTCTGTCTTGTTCCTGTCCTGCTCTACTGATTCTGTATCTGATGCCTGTCCCCCCAGGAGCCACTGTCAGAAAGGAGCTGCTGCTCACACAGAACCCAAAGCTGAGCTCATTCGCTGTAAGATGCACCCATAGTCAGAACTCTTCAGATAAAGAGGTCTCACCCATCTCATGCCCGAGTCACCTCCTCCCCCACTCTCCTCTCTGCTGGTCAGGATTCTGTTCTTAGAATGACAGAGTTGTTTCCGCTAATTTAGTCACAGACTTCCTCGGTGTTTGATATTGACTTTGGGTCAGTTTCTTTCGGGGTTCCATTTCCTTCATTTGCAGATGCTGTGATTGGAGCGAGTTGGCCTCGGCCTCGGCTGTTGGGATTGGTTTTCAGTGTTTGAGTCTTACCGATTTTGAGTTCTGTAGATGTACAGGACTTGCAAGGCCGTTCCTCCTGGTGAGAGGAGATGGGTTTGGAAAGAGTATGTTAAAGTGATGTCTCGTTAACTGTTTGTGCTCCAGAAGGGTGCGGAGTGGAAATCTGAAGCTCATTTCTTCCCACCAGGGGCAGCTGCTGAGAGCAGCATGTACTTACTCCCAGAACAACCTGAGCACAATGGCACTCTCACTGGGGAGAGACCGAGGGCAGTGGTCCTCTGTCCAGGAGATAAAGCAACTACACAGAGTTCTGGGAGAGCATGGGGTATTACCGGGAGGTTAAATGCCTAGTCAGGGATACGCAGGCACTCGGGGAAGTTTCCTTCCCAGCCTGCCCTGGTCCACAGCTCAGCATCTCTGAGTGGTGTCCACTGTCTTGGTGTCAGTGTCCCCTACCCCTGCAGTGGGTTCTCAGGGTAAGGGCAGGAGGACACCCAGGCACTGTCCCCAAGGCTGCTGCCTCCTGCAGGAGCTCCTCAGCCAGCAGCTGCCCCTCTGTGGGGTGCACTGCCCCTGAGTGGTGCTGACAGCTCTGGAGTTGGATCAGGGAAGAAGGGCCCAGTCCTGCTCTCTAGCTCGGGGCCCTCAGGGAGACCCCCTCCACCCTGTCAGGGGATCAGAGGCCTCCAATGCCCAGGGGGAAGATCTGCAGCCTTTGGGTGTTCTGGTCCCTCTGGCCTCTCACTCCAGCAACCTGAGGGCATGCATACATTTTGTGTTTCCTCAGGAATCTGTGACATGGGCCTGGGCAGTGTGCTCTATACACACCTGGCACTTCAAATTTGATCAGACGTGTCAAATATTTGTCCCAGACATGGACTACACACTGCTGGGCCTAAGGATAGCCTAAAGAGAGTCAGAGAAGTCATTTCTACACACTAAAGTTCCAACCTTCACTATTTACTGCTGTCTTGGATGGCCTTTGTCCTAAATTCTTGCCTATGCTAGAGGGGCCAAGGACCTGCCAAAAGGGCTCTGTGGCTCAGAGCGCACTCATGGTGCCCTGGCTTCCCTTGCTGCCCCTGCGCCAGTCTATTGCCCAGTGACAATACATGACCATTGCTTAGTGTGCTTGCCTGTAACCCAGGGCTCTGGTCTGTGGGTCCTTACTGTAATCCACAGCTTTGTCATGGGAGGCAGCTATTTCCCAGCTCACAATCCCAGCCACTTTAGCTGGAGAGTGGGAAGTTCCAGGCTGCAACATTCAGGTCTGTCCAGAGGAGACTATGTTTGCAGGTTTGAATTATAAAGGAACAGGGATGGCTGATCTGGGGAGAACACAGGTTCCAGAGCCCCAGGACCATGAGTAAAGGGACCCTGAGGGCAGTAGAAGCGCACAGTTAACACTCAGGCTCCGTCATGAGTGGAGGCCTGTTACTTCTTGTCAGGGCTTTGGGCTCTACTAAAAGCCTCTAGACTGAGAGTTTCAAAGGCAGCTTTACCCAGAATGCCAGGCCCATGTGAATTCCGCTCATTGGAGTGCACACAGCTCAACCCAAGGTCCTGTACCACTGCAGCAGAGGGTCCAGCCTCATCTCATTCCAGGCTGCCACACTTCAGGGCCTCAGGGAAAGCGAAGAGTAATGACCTGATCTCCATTTATGTGTCTGGGGCTTCCTAAAGGTGACCCCATGTTGCTGCAATGGACAGAGTGTAACCCTCAAAAGTCTCTGTGCTGGTTAACCCTCATTATCAGTTTGGCAGGATCGAGAATCACACAGACAGGCCTTCAAGCTTGACTATCAGGGGTTATCTGGATTACGCCAGCCTCTGGGTTATCTGGGACAGTTTGGATTGGGTTAAATGAAGTGGAAAAGCCCTACCCTAAGGGTGGGCAGCACCCTTCCTTGGACTGAGGCCCTGAAGTCCATAAAACGGAGAAAGCAAGACGTGCTTCAAAACTCAGTAGTCAGCACCTGCTCCCTGCCGATGCTTGTGAGCCTCTGTCTCAAGCTCCCAGTGCCATAATCATCCTGCCACATAAAACTGTGATTCAGAACAAGCCTTTCCTTCCTTCTGTTGCTTTAGTTGGTGCATTTTTTCATGGCAACAGGAAGAGTAACAAAGACAGTCACTCTCACCTGGAATGCCTAGGCACTGAAAACGCATGGTCCCTGGGCTGCACCCTCCATGGTGGCACCACCTCAGTGCTGGGTTCAGAGTTACCGCTGCAGCTCAGCCTCTCCTGCCTGTCGTACATCTCGCCCCTGTCTCTGCTGACTGCCCAACGAGCAGCTTTTCTGCTCATTGTCCTCCCAGTGGCCATCACAGAGCATGACAGGAGACAGGAGTGCTCTGATAGAGGTTTCTAGAGGAGCAGAGCCAGTGGGATGAAACACACACTCACGCATACACACACACATGTGCATACACACACCTCTCTTTTTAGCACAAGCTTTGACAACATTTACAATAAGTTTCCTGGTACGCATTTCCAAGGTGTACATTTTGTATTTATTTCTGCCCCAGACATTCTTTTTTACTGTAGATCTGCATATGTCTTATCCATGACAGTCTTGGGGCATGAACAGAAGCAGCCACATTCTTTACCAAAATATCTCACAAATGCCCTCTAGCCACATTGCTGTTTAAAATCCTTGCTGCCCTTTAAAACCTCTGGAGTCAAGTTTCTACAGTACACATCACTCCGCGTACTGCAGCCTTCCAGACGCCTGCTAGGACAGCCCACAGTTCTAAAAAACAGAGAAAAGAAAAAAGAAAAACAGGGCCAGGTTCCTCACAGCAGCAGCCCACTCTAATAATACCAACTTCCAAAATACCAATTTTGATCAAAATACCAATTTTGATCAATACCATGATCAAAGCAACTTACAGAAGAAGGGGTTTATTTTGGCTCGTGGTTCCAGAGGGATAAAGCTCATCAAA